CGAGATAATAGGTTCTCAAAAAACATAACATTGAGACCACATTTACCGCCCCAAGGAAGTTTGGTCAAATACTTCCAAACGCAAAACCAAAAATAGAGTTGGAGGCACAAGGGGTATACGAAATTCCTTGTAAGAATTGTGACAGAAGTGACGTGGGTCAGACCAATAGACGTATCAACGTTTGACGCAAACAACATCGTAACGCAGTCTTGAAACAAGAAAAAACATCTTTCTTAGCTGAACACGTCCAAAAAACTTCCCATAAAATTGACATTAAAAAAACAAGGGTCTTGGCTAGCATCGAACACAGGACCAAACGTACCATCCGTGAAACTATTAAAATAGAAAAAGGTCTAAGAAACCTCAACACAAGAGACGATACACAGAGATTACCAACTTTATGGAAACCAGCTTTTACAACCACCAAAACAACAAGCAGATTAACGAGATCAATGGAGCCGAACATAACACAGGTACAATCGAAATCACGGTTAATGACACGGAAAACTAAGAGGGTATATAAACAACGATCAGCGGCAACGGATCTCACTCCACGTCTAACTCGCAGCAGAGCTGCAACAGCAGCCCAGCAGAAAAGACATGAAGATGGTACATAAGATTATACCGAAATGTCGTCAGTCATACGGGTCTTTTAAGAACCAAAAACCGACAACACGGAGCAGATCCTCTAAAAACAATGTTATTATTCATCCAAGCAAAAAGAAACCGGTATGCGAAAAGTGTATTTAGTAGGTACTTTGTTATAATTGATTAATGACAGTTCGGTTGTTATTGTGGTTTCTCTGAGGCTACATGAACAGTTTAGTGTACCAGAGCGAACTTGACACATTAAAACAACTCAAAATTGTCCATGGTGTCAAAATATTTGCTCCTTTCATAATTTTGTCGCGGAAATACAAAACTAATTATGTCCCGAATATCTTGATCATCTTCTACACATAGTTCTTCCTCTAAATCCATGATTTAATTATACTCAAATGATTTGAATATTTCTTTCTTTTTTATAAATGAATCCTGTTCATGACACTAGTTTCGCAATAATTGAAACGCGTTTTTTAAGAAGAAACGAAATAAAAACAAGATATTGGGCAGTCGTCCAACGCCAAAAATGTCATAAATATTTAACGATAACGATTTATAAACAAAGCTTATTCTGTTAGCATTGTATTTTATTAGGCCGCGTCTAAAACAATTGGAGTTCAGGGGGTGGGTATTCCGATTGCTCTGATATTTTATTGAGTCAAATCCATCACAACGAAAGCACAACCCTAACCAAACTAAAAAATTTGGATAGAAAATCAGTTAATCCTGCGATTAAACCTACCTCGCCGGTGGATCTCGTAATCGAACACTTAAACTACATTTTTTGCGGGGTGCCTGACAAACTTTCGAACTAAGCGAGATTAAATTCCTAATCGATATTAAGTCCATACGGTGCATAAAGGATGACAACTTATTTGGTGACACCCTTTATGATATAGAAATAAAAATGTTTTTCTAGCACTTTCAAGCGTTTTTTGGAATTACCGTCAATTCATCGTGCGACAATTCATCGCCACGATAATTTATCGCGCGACAATTTATCGCACGACAATTTATCGCGTTTAAAATTATATACCATAAATATTTTAGAAATTTATTTTATTATATACATTATTACATTTGTAACCTAAAATTGTGGGCAATTCCTTTCAGATAATCATATAAGTTATAAAGATCGTAATTCTCCGTTATACGTTGAATCTTTATACTTTTTTTTGTGGTCTCTCAATACCAGTTGTTCAATTTTTAATTGATTAAGGCTTTCCTTTTTAGCTGAATCTTTATACTTTTTTTTGTGGTCTCTCAATACCAGTTGTTCAATTTTTAATTGATTAAGGCTTTCCTTTTTAAGTGAACTTATTAACCTCCAAATATTGGGATGTGCAGTAGACACGATGGAACTAAAACTATTGGGCCAGCCTTGATCAAATAGAAACAAATAATTCCCCCCTGTTAAATGTATTCTAATATTATATAAGATAGAAAATTCCCCAAAATTATTTTATTACAACTGTTGTTACTTCGACAGGTAATTGTCATACTGTACTAATATTTAAAAAAAACATTACCTGGAATAATTGTGTTATAGTTTGTTATTAGATAAAGTTTGAAATCATTTCTGAAGAAGCTACTTTGTTAGCGAAACAATAGTCAAATTAATTTAAAATAAATTTGAGAAACCCAAAAAACAGTGTTTGTTTTTACCTAGTTATACATTAGTGACATGGAGTTTTATCAAGTAAAGCTCGAAACAATAAAATATTATAGTTTAATATTTGTTTTTCATAATTTTTAGGCCAATAATATTAGATTTAAATATATTTTTTATTATAAATCTTTATAAACAGTAGTTTTGGAAAAATAGTTTTTTTAAAAATTTAACCTCCAATGATTGTGAATAAGTCATTTATATCCGCCTAATTAATTCCAGCCCAACGATTGGGGTTTATGCTATTTATATTTATACTAAACCACAAAAGCTAATAATGCCACTAAAACTTGTTATCAGTTGCAAGTAATATTTTTTTTAAATTAATCTGTTCTAATTTCTTGTATATGTACATGTATTTTATTATTTGTATATATTTGTATATACAGGGTGTCTAGAACTCGCGCCACAGAGAAAAAGGGGGCGTGCCGATAGCAATGGAGATGCCAAATTTAAAAATAAAAAATTTCTAGGTAATAGTGTAATCGAATGAGAGCAAAAAAGCGGCAGCCAATACCGAGAGCTCTCGCCTAGGTTAAACGTAAGAGCTTTAAAAATTGCTATAGGAGACGATAGAACATTGTTGTATTAAAAACATTTAAAACATTTAAAAATCTTTTGGCCAACTGTATTTACTAAGTTGTCAAAAGCTTTCAAAAATGAGGTTATTAATCTATGACTTATACTTCAGAACGCCAATGTTTTAAAATAACGATTAGGAAAGGGCTGGGAAAAAACTCGCGTTGTCTCCCTGGCGTTGCGCCCACACTAAATAAATAAATAATTATCATTTCAGTATAATCATTTAAGAAAAACATTATTTATAATAACTTAATTTATAACCTAATATAATATTAATGACAGGAGTTTGACAGCAGTGTCACAATAAATTGGATTCCAGTGGACAAAATATTTTACATATTTTTAATTATCAACAATGCAACCTAAGTATCCTAGCAATTTAAAGAATTCCCTATGGCCATCTATTGGGATTGGCTATCGTTTTTTATTCTTATCTCGCTTATCCTTTGCGTTAGACAATTTTAATTTTCAAATATGTGTTTCACGTTACTTTCGGCACGTTCCGGTTTTCTATGTGGCGCGAGTTCTGGGACACCCTGTATATATATATATATATATATATATATATATATATATATTATATATATATATATATATATATACAGGGTGTCTCACCAGCGATGGTACCTTAAACGTTTACGGAGAACGGCTGAAGATATCAATTTGAAATTTTTATAGCAATTATTGTACAATTTAATCTACCTTTTAAAATTATTTTGAATAAAATTCCTCTTCCGGTTTAACCGGAAGCGACATCAACTTTGTTATTTCCAATGGAACACCCTGTAAATTTTTTTATTTTTAAATTCCTCATGAAATTCTTAATAAAATTGCTGTACCATTCCCTATACCTAAACTTAACTGTTTTCGAGTTAAACCGGAAAAGGAATTTTATTCAAAATAATTTTAAAAGGTAAATTAAATTGTACAATAATTGCTATAAAAATTTCAAATTGATATCCTCAGCCGTTCTCCGTAAACGTCTAAGGTACCATCGCTGGTGAGACACCCTGTATATATATATATATATATATATTAGACTGGGCCAAAAAAATCGACTATTTTTTTTTTTGAAAAGTATATCGAAAATATGGTTTGGGGTGACAAAAAAAAATTATTGTGAAAGTTTGAGATATTAATATTAAGAGGTCTATCATCCCAACTTTAATTTTTTTTGTTCCTCAGCAAGTTTTAGGCTCAGAATTCCCAAACCATTAAGTTTAACAAAATTGACTTTAAAATATTTTTTTAAGAAAATTAAATGCTCTACAAAAAAGGTGAAATTTACCGTCAGATGATCCGTTTCCTTAAAATCATGCCTTAAAAATTGGTATAGTTTTACATTTTGACCTTTTAAATTGGAATTTTGTAATTCATGTAAAAATCAGTACCCATAAAAAACCGATAAATATTCTTATGGGAAATCAAATGCTTTACAAAAAAAGCCTCCCAACATTTTTGGCTAAATTCGTTTTGACTTCAAATTTAACCTAGAATAACTTTTGATGGAGTGAATTTAGCCAAAAATGATAAGACTTTTTTTGTAGAGCATTTGATTTCCCATAAGAATATTTATCGTGTTTTTTTCAGGGTACTGATTTTTACTTGAATTACAAAATTCCAAAGTTAAAAGATCAAATTGTAAAACTATACCAATTTTTAAGGCATGATTCTAAGAAAAGGGTTCATCTGACGGGAAATTCCAATCAAACCTTTTTTGTAGAGAATTCGATTTTCTTCAAAAAATATTCCTAAGTCAATTTTGTTAAACTCAATGATTTGGGAGTTCTGAGACAAAAACTCGCTCAGGAAAAAAAATCTAAAATTGCGATGATAGACCTCTTAATATTAATATTATGGACTCAAACTTTCACCATAATTTTTTTTGTCACCCCAAACAATATTTTCGATATACTTTTAAAAAAAAATAGTCGGTTTTTTGGGTAAAGAAATTTATCTGTTTAAAACTAATTTGTTATATTTAATTTGTTGTGACCACAATTATTGGTATTGGTATTGGTAGTGTAAAATAATAAACTAAATAAAAGTCTAAAATAAGGACAGTTCTATACCCAAAGCTATAAATGAGCCATAAAAAAATAGTTGTATTTTTCATTTTTTAGGAAATGTGATTTCTGGAAATAAAATGGATTCTAAAAATTTAGCAACTGTGTTTGCTCCTAATATTTTGCATTGCATAAAACAAAATTCCAAAAATTTCATCGAAGATAATCCGGAGGAAAGAAGTGATGTTATTAATGTTGTTAAGATCCTTATTGATCATTACAAATATGTATATTCTGTCTCTGCAGAATTAATGAATGAAATTTATCTTCACATAATGGATTCCTATCCTAATAAACTGGATTTACTTCTTAGTAAAAAAGATACAAACTCTAGAGCTGATGAGTAAGAAAGAATTTAGTACGTAAATAACTAAAAATACTAACATAATACTAATAAGTTCCTTATTAGTAATGTTCCGGTCTTACAAGTATGGAAATAGTTAATAAGTATAATAAGGGGTTTTATATATTATGTAATATGTTTAGGATTATGTTTGATAAACAGTGTTTATCCTAATGCATTAAAAATATATCAGGTATTTTTAAACTGACCTAAAACGCCTTTATATTGAGATATCACCAGGGGCGGACCGTTGACTTTGTGGGCCATGGGCTAAATCTCTTTGGGGGCCTATCAATAATTATATATGGATATATCCATAACAAAACAACAAATACTTACGACAAAAATAAAAAAAATAAAAAAAAATTCTTAATAAAATTTATGAAAAACAAATGTTTTCAGCATTTATACAAGTTGTCGGGATAAGACCTGTACATTGTAGGGCCACATATTTCTTGATTTAAAATATTTCGACTTAACCCAACTTACCTAAATAATAATTGCTTTGTATAGCTGCTAGTTGCGTTTATAATATGTAAAAAAATTATTTTATACTGCAGTATATAAATCGACTATTTTTTTTCTATAAAATTTAATAACCTCATGAGCCTGTTAAAATATCACCCATTAATATTATTGGTTGCTTGCTAATTGCGATTTTACATTTAAAGTAACTAGGTACATAAGCTTTTTTTATTTTAAAATTATTCAACTCGTTAACGGAATAATGCATGATTAAAACTTTTATTTTAAGGTGCGTACTGACTTGCAACAAAACACTCCGAACGATCCAAACGCGCCGCGCGCGCTGCAACAAATTGTGCTAGTGAGAATCTCGCGCCGAACAGAACGGATCGCGCCAAACTTTTTCGGGCGATTGTCGGTAAATCGGATTTGCGCAAAGAGATTTTCGCCGAACGATTAGTTCGCAACTTTGCAGTGAGAACGTGTGTTTGCCGTGTTTGGCCTGTTTGTTTATTTAAATTAATTATTAAAAGTGCAAAGATGGAATGGAGCAGGGAAAAGTGCCTTCAATTAATAGATGAATATGAAAAGCACCCTTTATTATGGGATGCGAAAATGGGCTGTATTTTAATAAAAATAAAAAATTCGACGCTTGGGAAGTGATTTGCGAAAATTTAAAAATTCCCATAGAAGAAGGCAAAAAAAATTGAAAGTCTTCTTTCAAGTTTTAGAAGGGAAAAGGCCAAGGCCAAGAAATCAATAGGAACTGGAAAAGGTAAGTTTTCAAAATTTTGCACTTATTTTAACTTAAATATACGGGATGGTTGTACCCATTGTCATATTATTTTATTATTAATTATTGCTTCAGCATCGGCATTATTAAGTCATAAATTACAAATAAATTACAGTCCGATAATATTTATAGGTATCGAATTGTTTTTTTATGGATATGAAACAATTTAGGACTTTTTGATATAGGTAGTCAAGATTTTGTGTCACTTTTGATTTCTAATTGAACATTTTATAAATGTTTATAAATTTAGTTTTAAAATAAAATTATCAATTCACAAATAATATACCTATCATTTGTCAATTTTTTACCGCTGAAACTGTGCAAAAAATGTTTAAAGAAAACAAAGTTCGGCAAAAAGTAATAATTAAAGAAACCTGCAAAAATTAACAAATAAACTTTATTGTTAATTTTTTATTTAATTTGTTAAATTACATTTCTTTATAAGTATTCCATTGTATTATTTTATATTGTTTTATAGGTCGCGAAGAAATTTATGTATCGAAATGGTTTGCTTTCACACGCATGGCTTTTCTTCTTGATAAGGATAAACCAAGAACTACAATTAATTCCTCAGAGGTATGTAAACTAAACTAAATTATACATATGTATGTGGTGATTATACTTCAGTATACTCAATGGGGTTATTTAACATATACTGGGCAAAATTGTTACGAATTTCCTTTACATTAGTTTCCGGCTTACGTGGCATAAGGGATAATATTTTCTTGATCATCTTCTTGGTCAAAAGTTCCTGGAGGTGTGTAAACATTTCTGGGATTACGGCTTTTCCTAAGATAATTGTGTAAACAGCAAGCTGCCATCACAACCGTCTGTGTCTTTCCAGGATATTGGCTTTCTTAGAACTCTAAATATCGCTGACATAATACCGAAAACATTTTCTACTACTCTTCTTGCGCGGCTAAGTCGAAAATTAAATATTCTTTCAGGTGTTCCTTTTCCATGCATTCCAGAAAATGGCTTCATTATATGAGTTGTTAAAGGAAATGCCTCGTCAGTTAAAAAAACGAAGGGCATTGTTTTATTTAAACTAGGTAAAAGGGAATCTTCAGGTAGACCTAATTCGTTATTTTCTAATTTCCTATAGAGCACTGTGTTTTTAAATGCTCCTTCATCTGATATCCTGCCTTGGCAACCAACATCAACAAATATAAAATTATAGTCCGCATCAACAAGTGCCATTAGAACTATACTAAAAGTTGATTTATAATTGTAAAAATCGCTTCCACTGTTAAATGGGGCCTGTATTACGACATGCTTTCCATCCATAGATCCAATACAATGAGGAAATTGCCATCTTTCTTCAAATTGCCTAGCTATAGATAACCATTCTTCGGGGGTAGTGGGCATCTAAAAATAAAAAAACAACTAAAGTGGAATTTCTTCAAAAGGCGTAAGTTTATATATATATATATACATATATATATATATATATATATATAATTGTGGTCTTTATTTGAGTATATATGTATATATAATAATATGTTTGTTTCAGGAAAATGATTATTCTAAAAATAATTATATTTGTGAAGAAACCGTTACCGAAGAATTTTCAACTAACGAACCAGAAACAACCAATTTGAAATACACCGAAGGCGAGGAAATACAAGAACAACCTCTCGCTAATAAGGATACCCCAAAGGCAAGTACGTCTGGTCCTCCTAAAAAACAATTAAACAAACGAAAGAAGCCAAATGAAATAGAGGACTCCAAAATTAGTCAAGCCTTAGGAATTTTAAAAAATGCAGCTTCCAACAGTGAGCTCAAAGGCGATGAGTGTGGAGTATATGGACAACATGTAGCTCATAAGCTCAGAAGCTACAGCAAAAAACTAGAGCTATTGTACAGCATAACATCAGCAATATCATATTTAAAGCTGATATGGGGCAATATGATGTTGAGGAACCAAAAAACTCCACAACATATCAAACATTCTATGCAAACTCTTGGTTACCTCGAAGTTCCCCTTTAGGTAACTCATCTCCACATTCTTCCGTCAATCAAACTCCTGTACCTTATCCTTCCCCACATTCTCAACAGTTATATTTACCGCAGTCGTCCCCTATGACTGAATCTTCCTCTATTAATGAATCTCTCTCTCCAGCAATCTCTATAAATGAATCTGCCCCACCACCAGACCACTTATTACTTAGTTTATTAAAATAATATATGCTAAATGAAATATAATATGTTTGTAATATATATGATATAATATAATATTTAAAAATATATATGTATATGTACCTTTATTTGATCCTTGAGTCCTTTAATAAGTGCATTGCAAGTTTCTATAATTATAAAACTGATTCGTTGTTTCGAAATTTTAAATAAATATTGTAAACTAGTATAAGAGTCTCCTGAAGCTAAAAAGCGTAGAGTAATAGCTAAGCGATCTTGAACAGGTATTGCCTTTCGAAGTGGTTTATCTTTCTTTGCTATTTCAGGACCCACAAGACGTATCAGTTTCTCAAAATCTTCTGCAGACATCCTCGTAAAATTTTGTAAATGAATATGATACATATCCCTGAGTAGTTCCAAATTTCTACGACGCAAAAAGAGACGTCTTGACCACTCTTTTCTTTTTTTCTTCTTCTTATTACTAACTAAAGCACTTATAATTTAAAAAGCACCAGCCGCTATTATTATTAAATCATCTGCATCCATCCTGACGAACACACCAAATGCGGGAACGCGAAGAACACAGCAAATGCTCGCGAACGGCACGAACCTTCACAAACATGTTTGTGGCATTCGGCGCAGCGCGCGCGGTGCGTTTGGTTCTTTCGGAGTGTTTTGTTGCAAGTCAGTACGCACCTTTAGGGAATTAAACGCTCTACAATAAAGTTTACTTATTATTTTATGATAAATCTACTCGTTAAAAATTATTTAAGACAAATTCATAGCAAATTTTAAGTTTTTGTTACTTTCCCGGTAAAACCATCAGACTTTTCACAAAATGTTGAAAATGATCATAAATTTTTTGTAGATCATTTAAATAAATTTATTTTCTATAAAAATTTGTCATTATTTTTTAAATGTTTTATTTATGATTTACTGGTTTAACCAATATAAATACAAATATATTTTCAATAAAATTGATATATACAGGGTGAGTCAAAAGTGGTGAACTTCCCAGAAGATGCATGTAGGGGGGCCTTAATATAGGTAGGGGAAAATGTTAAAAAAATTCCAAATGAAAAAGTGACCGAGGAATTCAGGTCTTAAGTTTTAATTTTTTTATTATTTAATATTTTTCCACCTTATATGATTTTTACTGCTTACTTCTTAAATATTTCCTAGCAAAAAAATTGCCCGAAATAGTAGATTATGTCATAAGGAGTAGAAGTGGCTCTTTTTGTGGTGAGTACAGAGATTGACGGCCGAAGCGTAGCTGAGGCAGGCAACTGTACGAAGCACAAAAAGAGCTTCTACTTCAAATAATATATACAATTTTTTTTTCAAGGGCGTAATATAAATAGGATAAGCAATAGAATTATTTTATTTACTTATAACTCATGTGGTATAAAATTTTGGCTAAAAGCATTACAAATTATTGATAAAAAGTAAAAAAACTTATAACCCTTACTTACAATGCCGATAAATATCCTAAACCATAGATAACAAAGCCTAAACTAAAAATAAACACTGCTCTGTCAAAATGCTGCGCTTGAATTAATTTTGACGTACTGACATTTGTTTGGAGTTCCGACATTGGCGACTCGTCTATCATCATTATATTATACTAATAAACTAGTTGTTCTTTATTTCGTTCAATTAAAATTTAATAAATAATCACTAAATATTCCGTGCGATTATAATTAATATAATTAATACATCGTGATTGCTTTGTATGAAATGCTAAATTAATTTTATTATTTGACGTCTATTGAGTCACCTATGGATTTACTTCTATCCCTAGGCTTTTTTGAGTTTTTTGTCTGCCGCTAATGAAAAAGACCTACTTCAACTATCTCTATACATGCATATAACGTTGTATATCATGGCCGCTTGAAAAAAAAAGTGTATTTTCTTTTAATTTTAATGTTTTAGAATGATAACAATTGAAATGATCTGGCAACTTTGTAATCAACAATACGAAAATTGACATTGACGTTTATATTTTATTTTTTTGGTGTTTTCTGGTTATTATTTTGTCGAGTCTATTTAATAAAATGTACACAATAAAGAATATGTGAATATGATGATGATACTTGGATTCTGTGAAGAAAATTGCAATGAAGCAGCCCGGGTATACGCAGCAAGATTCGCTGACATAACACACCCATCGCCGGGAGTTCTTAGAAGGATGATGGTCAGAGCTAGAGAGACTGGATCTCTAATTTCCACGGCAGGTCCTGACCTTGGTCGGCCTCTAGAGATTGTACCCGAAGCCGATGAGTTAATCATTCAGCTGATTCAAGAAGATCCAACAAGAAGTACCAGAGGGATTGCTCAGGACTGATGGGTATTTTAATAGTAGAAATTGCCATTATTATAACCAAGAAAATCCACATAGAAAATGGGAATTTAATCATCAAAATCGCTTCAGTGTAAATGTTTGGGTTGGGATAATTAAAAATTGGGTTGGGATAATTAAAAATTGGGTTATTGGGCCTATCATATTACCGCGCAATTTTTGTAATGTTTGTTCATGCTTCTTTATGTTATTTTTTTTCATAAATTTTTATTTTGTTTGATTTTGGTTTTAATTATTATTATTTAAGTATTATAATCACAACTGTCTCATTGCTGTCTGTTATTATGACAGTAATGTCAACAATATAAGCGCGTAACAATTCAAATAAGTTCCTTAGTTACTTCAATTAAAATGAAATCTAATAATTTCCTGTAACATTGTTAGTGTTTACACGTTGCCAAAATTTTTTTTTGAGTTCTTGGTCATAACTCGAGTACCAAAGCAGATAGATTTTTTTTTAAATTTTTCCCTACATATATTAAGGCCCCCCTACATGCACCTTTCGGGAAGTTCACCACTTATGACTCACCCTGTATATACATATACAACTCGGCAAATGTAGCTTGAGACGTCAAATGTTTACGCCCATCAAAGCGCAGTGACCAGCTCTTAAAATATTCATTTGCATTGAAGTTGTCGTATCGTAAAGAACGTTGCGCATAGTGGATTAAAATTAAAGTAAATCAAGTATATTATATTATCTATTAATACTATTTATTATTATTATTATCTATTAACACTATTTATTAAATAAAACAACTTTTTGCAGGTTCTTCACAAATAATTATCAATTTGCCATAATTTCTTAACATTTATATCAATAAAACGTACCTAACCCTAATACATAATACATACCTTAACTTTAAAACATTTCTTGTTTACCTTAAATATAATTATACCCCATCAATATTAAGGTAGAAAATTTTACCTATTTGATCTATTCCAATTGTATAATTAAATTTAAAAAATTCAAAGTAAATAAAAAATTTACTATTGTTTACTCTTAAATATATTTAATAATGTTGTTACACGGTCCGTAGTTGTCATTAAAATCTTTATTAGTTACATCCATTAAACTTTAATAATATTTTAGCTCTAACCACAGCATATGCTGTGTTCTAACTATTTTATAACTTAATAATTTAAAATTTTACAAATACCACGTAAAACCGCTTTTTGTGGATTTTAGTCCTTTGTGCGGCCGATCTCGGCCGTATTATGGATCTCTTTTCTTCCGAATGCGTTCTCTCTTTAAAATTTGCGCACCTGGCTCATTTCTGAAGTCTCTTTATATATTGGCAGAGTTGTACAGGGTGTTATTTAATTAATGTTATATATTAAAATGGGTAGTTCCTTAGGGTCCATAAAGAAGCACCTGAAACTTTTTTTTTCTAAATTCCAAAGACTAAAAATAATTTATAATAACCTTTATCCTACCAAAAAGTACGCCACTGATCGACTAGGGACCGCGGATTAACCTTAACCTATTACTTTTTAATGCAGTGTTGCCAAATGTAAAATTAAAAATGTATTACCTTATTTGAAATGCTCAAAATCATTTCATAATTTAGAATGCAAGCTTAAACTCTGCGAAGCATGCTTTCGCGCACCCGCGTAAAAATGTCTGGATTATTTACAATTAAGTTCCTGAGTTGCTGCCCAAATCCCGTCTCTCGTAAATGTGGCCTCATCGGTATAGAAACACTATGGCTCCAATCAGCATCTTCTTGATTTTTCTGTATATACCAATGGCAAAATTCCAACCGCAGTGCATAATCTGCATCCTGAAGAGCTTGAACTTTTTGTAGGTGATAGGGGTACAAACTATTTTCGTGAATCGTGCGCCACGTAACAAAGTTGGACATTTGTCCAAGTTGGGCAGTTAATCGTCTTGTACTAATTCTCGGATTTGCTTCCACTTCGTCCAAAATTTGTTCTTCAAGGGCCACAAATTCACGTCCCTGAGCCCGACCCCTATCACCAACAAATGCGCTAAATCTTCCGCGGTCCCTTAAATTTTGCACAGCACGTACAAAACTTTGCTCCAAAGGGCGGTAATTTAAACAAAAAGTTATTTATATTTCCCCAACAGTTACCATTTATATTTTTAGCAGTTTATCCATATATATTTTTAACATGTGCCATAATATATTGTTGGTTGCATACGCAGCGGGCAATTCCTAATGAAATTAGCGTCTTTTCTCATTGACAAGTGGCAGCACTGGAAAAATGGTGATGTAACAGAACATTGGTATATTTCATTATGTAATATAAAATCTGTGATATAAACTCAATGCGTTAAAAAACACATCACAAACTCGCACAAGAACGCTAAATTACGTATAACACTTGTTGAACTTTTGTTTTATAGTTTAAAAAAATCAAAAACTGTCAACTGGCACACCCTAATGTACAGTGTGTCCCAAACTCGACGCCCCAACCTTATTGTGAAAAAATGGAGACATTAAGAAAAAATTCCTAGATTATGCGCTTTGAAGAGTAAATTTAGTAAAAAAATAAACAAAAAAAGATGACGGTGCTCAGCGCCGCGATGCTGACGAAAGTATTTTTTCCACGAACATACTTTTTTTACTTCGGTTGGAAAGATAATTGAATTTAAAGAGTTTTTCACTAAAAAAATGTTTTCTTACTACCTCGACTCAAAATACGTTGTTTCGTCCCCGATTCCACGGCAGAAAGTTTACGTTTTATGCATTGGTCAAGCTATACGCGCACACTCTAATAGCGGGAGTAACAATTTTTTAGTCGTGTGCTTAACATTCAAATTTCGTACTGCCAACATGAGAAACACAAAAATATGACAGTTTTAAACCATAATTTTGCAATTATAACAACAAATAAACAATTTATGTTTTTACTTTTTTACTTTTTATGTTGTTTTAAGTGTTTAATGGTACTTTTATTTGTTATAAAGTAGTAATTTGTTAATTAAAATACAACCTTTTATTTTTACTGTATTGGCACCGCTGAATTCACGGCCTACTGTTATTTATTTATCAAGCTCTTCAAATGGAGATAGGTAGGTACATAAATACACATTTAATTTTTTCCCGTATTTTCGGCCGGGTTGTATTTTCGGCCGAGGTAGTAAGAAAAATAGTATACACTACACGGGCAGAAAGTGTGAGAGCCCTGAACTGCGCGCCATGATCATGGCGCGCAGTGCAGGAATCTCACACTTTCTGCCCTTGTAGTGTAATATACTATTTCTATCTATATTCGACAAATCCATGACAATGTAAAATTATTATGATCTATGTGCCATGCCTTTTTGACGGTTCTCTATAAAACAAAATAGCTTTTAAAGCAAAGTGTCAAAGTCAAGTTTGTTAATTACTTTTTTTCTTATTTTTAACATTATAATAACGATATGGTTTTAATATATGGTGAGGCAAATCGTAATTCCAGGGCGGCACTTTGGTTATATGGACAAAGATATCTAAATGGAATAGTTCCCGACCACAAAATGTCTAATAGATTAGAAAAAAATCTTAAACAAATACCCAAACGAGCCCGAAGTGATGAAGCCGTAGCACAAATTTTTGATGTGTTTAAAAATAGACCAAGAACATCTTTGTGCCGTGCCAGTATTGCTTTAAACAAGTCACGATTGTCAATTTGGCGGACTTTAAAAACCATGAAAAATATTTACTGCAGTAAATATTTTTCATACAAAAGTAATAATTTTTAACTTTTAACACAAGATAGAAGACTTTTTAGTGCAATTTGTAAATCTGGAAAACCAAGACCCACATTATATTTTGTGGACTAACGAAACTAAATTTGAAAGTTACGGGCGGCCAAAAGATACTTGGCAATTGAAAACCCAAATTGGGTAAAGAAAATCAAGGGCATTTTTGGATCAATGTTTGGCGTGGTCTGCTTGGTCCACAGTATCTGGGACAATTTTGTATGATTATTCATTAAATGGGGAGAGATTTTACAATTTTTTGAATCAACATTTGTTTCAGTAATTAGATGTAGTGCCGCCGTAATTAGATGGTGCTTCATGCCGAAATTGTTCGAGGATTTGTGAACCAAAACTTTCCAAATAAATGTTGGCCAGCTAAGTTGCCAGATTGGACTTTTTCTTGTGGGGAACATTAAAAAAGTATTGTTTACCAATCTCCTAAAAATAACATGGAACACCTTAAACAAGAAATTAGAGATGCCTGCAGCTTATTAAATGCAGAAACAATTTTTAGACTTACCAGTTGAGAAGTTGAACGACGGTATGAAAAAGGTTTGGAAGTAAATGAGCATCTTATATAATAAAATTGTTTAATTTGTATTTTTTAATAAATAATAATTTTAAATCTTAGGGGTACATGTCCATCAAAATTTAAGTAGTTAGGTGTGTAACCAGTAACCAGTAACATAACGAGTAGCATACCTAATTTACACAACTCCATATCCCAATTCTTGTCCAAATAAGATCTAATAGCTGTTCCATCAAAACGGTTTACTCGCTCGACTTGATTAATTTGAGGGTAATATTTGGCATTAAACCAAAGCTTTACAGAAATTTTTCAACAAATTCTCTATAATTTTTCGACATAGACAGGGTACCATTTTCAAGGCAAATTATCTGGGCATACCATAAACCAAGAAGAATTAATTTTTCAAAAACTGAATAATGTGAAATATTACCAGAATGTGGTGTAACAACACGAATTTTGAAAAATAATCTGAAACTGCCAATATATAGACGAACCCACTCGGTGATTTAGATAGTGTCCCAACAATATCGATAGAGATAATCTGCTAAGGGAATTAAACTTACTCCTGAGCACCAACTCAACCTTGTTGTTGAAACGGCTTTAAGATCTTATTTAGACAAAGTTACTTACAAGAGTTGGGATATGGAGTTGTGTTAAATTGGATATGCTATTCGTAGTGCTGTACATAAGTCCACTGGTTACACACCTAACTACTTAAATTTTGGTGGACCTCTTAAAGGGAAT